TATACAAACACGATTTCTGGTCGATTTCTACGAAATAAATGGAAAACATCTAAAATTTCCTCATAAAATTCATAAACAAACTATTTTTCTATCAATCTGCGAAGTCTAAATTGAACTAGAGCCCTCTTTGTACTCAAATATTTAAAAGATATTGGTTGTAGAAGCGGAGGTCAAGTAAAGTGCGCCATTTGTAATTTGAAGTGACAGATAAATGAAGCAAAGAAATAGTATTTTACGATTGGTCAATAGTATTCCGGTAATTATCTTAACCAATCAAATCCTTATATAATATTCAGAGCGGAACAGTATATACATGCGCTATACATGGCGATAAAATACTGTCACAAGCGAGAACCTTGTGTATTTTTTAATGAAATACGTACGATGAGGGCATTTGATCAGTGAAGATTTCGCAGATCGATAGGAAAAGAGTTTGTTTATGGAACGTGCGTGGAAATTCTAGCCGTTTTTTGTTTTTTTCCGTAAAAATCGATCAGAAATTGTGTTTGTATACATGAATGGACTGGACGTCGAAAACGACATGAATTGAAAATATTGGCATTTTTCGAAACTTTTTCCAATTTCTTTGCTATTTGAGGGATTTTAATGAAATAAAAAGCGTTGGCACTTGGATTGATCCTTTCAGATGGCGACCAGAAAGAGATAACCGTGATCTGGTCGTTTATTGCAGCAGTGTTCTTGTTTGTTCTGCATGATGTTTTTGTTTCGTTGGGGGCCTTATATCTTTATATACATATATAGACCGATTATGTAAAATATTTGATTATGTGACTAGCGCCTGTGGGTTTTTTTACTTATTTTACGAGTGATGGCTGTCAATGCTTTTCATTTTTTCATAAAGCATACGGCAGTTATTGCTCGTAGGATACTTTAATATGCCCAAATGTCATCAAGAGCAGTTTTGCATGGGGAAGGAATGTATTTTTCAGACTGTAAAAACGAAACAAAAAAAATTTAGAGACGAAATTTGGTGATTGGAATTTGAAGGAATAGAAGTAAGTTTTCTCTCTGTGTTACTTTTGACATTTAAGTTATTTATCTATTTCAGCTTTGCTATTTCTTTTAACAGCCTGACATTGTCAGAATTGTCCGTAAAAATAAAATTGAGGTACCACATGGGGAAAATCTTAAAAAAGTAGTTTCGTCATTGAAAAAAGTGAAATTATATTTTGATAATTTTCACTGTGAAATTATCAAATATAATTTTCACGGATAAATCAGTAATCCACTGAAAAGCATAAAATAAATCCTATCTAATATAAAATACATGATATTCAACGTTTGTTTTTATCTTATTTTTGAGGAAATTATGTGCTTTAGATGATAAAAATGATACACAAATTCTGTTATCTGTTGTGTAATATAACAATCCTAGGCATTTTTTTTCAGTTTTCTTATATTAGCTCAAATAAAGAAATGTTTAAATAAACAAGTTTAAAAAACTACTTTGACATATCAAGTGAAAGTCATAAAGCTGATAGATGTTAAGATGTTATACTTTATCAAAGGAACAATATCTAATCTTTAATGGCTTTTTTGTTATTTATTGACTTATTTTTTGCGTATTTGACGAGTTCATATTTAACAAGGGATTATTAGGTCATAAATCGTAGCAGCAATGTCATTAAATCAAAGTAAATTCACTGCACCCCATCCCCGGAAGCGTAATAGACTAGCTCTTCCTGGAAATTAACAATGACTTTTGTCCGCTAAAGAAACATTAGCATTAAAGTGGATTGGTCTACAGATGACACATTTTCAATTTAGATAATTACAATAGAAATGTATCATTTGGATATTCTTAAAATATTGCTTGGAAAAAAAATGTTCTAAATGATTTAGTATCTATTGAACAATTCTATTATGAATAATAATATTTTGTTCTAGAACATTCTATCATCTGCTAAATATCGGATCATGTTACTCACACTTGCCAACACCATCTATATATGAGCCGCGTCATGACAAAACCAATATAATGGGTTTGCGACCATCATGGATCCAGACCAGCCTGCGCATCCGCGCAGTCTGATCAGGATTCATGCTGTTCGCTATCAGTTTCTCTACTTGTAATACAGTTGGCAAGCGAACAGCATGAATCCTGATCAGACTGCGCGGATGCGCAGGCTGGTCTGGATCCATGCTGGTCGCAAACCCACTACGTTGGTTTTGTCATGGCGCGGCTCATATATTTTCCATGGTTTGTTGTTATGTCTGATACTAAATAATATCAACGTAATCATTTATTGTATAACAAACCTTCCATTTTAGACCAATTCACTTTAAGTCCACCAAACAGAAAAGGGATTACTTGAGACATTTCTATCCTTGCTAACGTTTAAATAGAGTTTTTAGGGAACTTGCTACAGACTCAATATTACATAAACAATCCTCGAAAAATGAATAAATCTTTCTCCCCGTTTTGTCTCTATTAGACATTTCATCTTTTATGAAATACAGAATTTTGAACATATTTTTATATAAAGGAATTCATAGCAGTTTTATAAAGCAATACTTCAAAACGAAATAGATAATTAACAGAAATAAAACACTTATTATTTGTGTCCCATTACAAAACTCTTGTATATCTTTCCTTACGTAAATATGAACCGTAAATAGTTATGTTTTTTGTTATGTTAAATTATAAGGTTCTATGCACATGTATAGGTGTTCATCTCTCTATTGTAATGTATTTAAGTTTTATGTTATATAATGATACTTTCACGGCTATATCATATTTCAATAGAGAAGTTTTAAGGCTTTGCTACATTTTTGTTTTAAAATAATGAATATAAACTTTATGTAAACGATCCTCACATTAATTAAAACGGGACGTCCGTGGCCGAGTGGTTAAGGTCGTTTACTTCAAACCACTTGCCTCTCAACGCTGTGGGTTCGAATCCCGACAGGGACTTTGGACTCTTTCATGTGAGGAAGCTATCCAGCTAGCTTACGGAACGTCCGTGGTTCTACTCAGGTGCCCTTTCGTGCCTGAAATAATGCACGGAATGGCACCTGAGGTCTTCCTCCACAAGTAAAGCTGGAACGTCGCGATATGACCTATACTGTGTCGATGTGACGTAAAACCCAATCAAAACAAAACAAAACAAACATTGATTAAAAATTTAATTGGTCAATTTAACTTTCTTAAAGGTCAACGCACCTCCCTAACAGACGCTTAATGCGATATGTGGGCATCATTTAAAGCATAGTATATATACTGATAGTAAGAGATATCTTGTAATTTATCAATCAATTGTTTAAACATCATCGATATACTGTCAATATAATTGATTTTCTGTTAACATACCCTTCTATTGACCTTTAAAGTCCCCTCAAGATAAAACTTCACTTTCTACTTTTCATTATGCTTTACTTGATTTAACAACTTGACTCGTCAATATAGTCACGTTACATTTTGTTGATTTTATAATGAATATATGCTGAATGTTTTTTTCTATTAAACTATATAATCAAATACTATATAATCCAATACTATATAATCAAATACTATATAATCAAATAATTTTTAAAAAATGTTATAAATATTAATTAACCAAGAGAACATTATTACATTTCGAAGTAAGCAAGTTTCATTGCAAGACGTGCGAGTTTAAAGGGTTGATGGAAAGTGCGTGTATGTACATAAACAGATAACTGAAAGAGGACATCTGTGTAGGAAACACGCACTTTCAATTACATTTAAAATGATTATTCGTGAGAGAAATTATATTTTCATTCACAAAACACCTATACAAGCTTGCACGGTACTTCAAAATAACACGGACATTGTCTACTGGCCATTTGACTTTCATCAAGTGAAACGAAGTATGGTCGAAAACCTCATGTCATGAATAATTTGTAACATACATAATAGAATTTAATTTGTTCACGCGGTAAGAAAGTAAAACTATTCTTCCGTTGAATTCATCTCACAATTTGTAATTCAATTATTTATCAACTATGTTTACCTAAACATGGTTCATTGAATGTAAATTGAAAAAAAGAAGGTAGACCCTCTTTTTATATATTTTTGTGTGTGTTTTCTTTTTATTTATTAAAATAATGCGTGCACATTCACTTTTTAAACATACAAATGAAAACACACTGTTAGCTTTTCCATCATATTGAATCAGGAAAATAAAATGCTAGTAAGATTTGTAAATTTGTCTTCTACTACAAGTTTCATTAACAGACATGTTAAATTTGTCTTTGATTTCACGATTATACCTTTTGCACTCATTTCAATTCTAATCCATACTCGCTACTTGATTCATCAACTGAAATCCGATGAATATTAACTATATGAGTGACTATTAAATCCCCTGAAATATCAATTTCCAAAATATTACACACTGGCCATATATATATATATATAGCTGTTGTATTTTTTTTGTTCTTCAAATCAAAACATAAATTTGTTTAAATTTTTCAACTTTTATGACAATTAATTTCACATTCAACAATACATGTAATTTTTTAGGTTATTAGTATCTCACATGTTCTAAATACATGTACATTATAACAACGTTATGAAACAATATTTGTCTTATCTGCAGAAGAAAAGAAGTTATTGATTTCTGAGATATAACCAGCCTTTAAACGCACTGTCGACGAAACAGAAAATAAAAAAAACAAATTAACTTATTCTATTATAATTAGGCCTGTCCGTCAGCTATTATAAGTGAACCCACTTCCAAATATGTTGAATAACTTTTCACAGTAAAATTAGTTGTAAAACACTAACTAGTGTAACTAGTATATTTGCAATTCAATGCTAAGTATCAAATTTTATTATTATATTGAATCATAATAATATAGTAACAAGCTTGTTACATACCTATCTTATTTGCATTTTAATTTTGAAACATTTTATCAAAATTTCATCTCCAGCAAAAATCATCAGAATAAATCTCATCAAAACAACAAATAAATTGATTCAAAAATATATTATAGCAAAATTGAAGTAATTGTCTCACCTGATTTCGGTTAGAGCCCTATAAAAATGCACACTATCACTCACACATATATTGAACTACTGATTTTAGTGTCCCCTCAATCATAATTTTACGAGTTCATTCCACTTTGTACCAAATAGTCAAATCATAATATCAATATTAAGTATCATGACAATATACAATGTAATAACCTTAACATTCACTATCTATTTATGATGAGTTTTAGGTGTGTTTGTAATACCTTACTCAGGCCCCTCATACATAAACCTCTTTTTCAAAGATGTTAATTCTTCTTTTTAAATAAAATTTATACAAACAATTTTGAGAAGAGCGCCTTTATTAAAGCGGCCCGTCTCATCTCTTAGATATAAGTTATCAAATAATTTCTTCTTCATTGGGACTCTAATATATCTGTTACTGTTATGAATCAAGAGATCTATATCTAGATACATTCGCTTAATTATTGTCGATCCAACGCGATTATGACAATTTCTTGGTGAAATATATTTCACAACAAGATATAGAAATGCAAGCTACACCTAATCCTCGTAGTTTTTGTTAAACAGCCTTCATATTGCATGTTAATGGTACGAAAAATGTATTGCCAATAAATTGTAAAAACGACTGATTTTCACCTTGTTTTAGTTACATTAAGTAAATAATATGGACGTTAATTTAAGTCGTGTGGGCTGATTTTAAGACGAAATAAAAGTGTCATGTCATTTATGCATATTAAATGGAACACGCTACAAAGTTAAAGCAAATATGAATTTCCATCTCTGTTAAAATTCAACACAGTGATAATTTTCCGTTGTTGCTGATGTTTATAACACCCTCTTTTCTTTCTGTTATTATCTATATGGTTGCATGGCTTTAAGGTTTTTGCAGGTTTATTATTATATTGTAGTGTATGTTTCAACCGCTTTCATTTACTCAGTTACAATACCATAGATATCTGTGTTACCAAGGGCTGTCCTACTCAGGTTTAATATTTACACATATTTATATAAGATTATAACGCAATTTGACATCATAAAGGCGGAACATTGTTTGCTTTCATTTCATAATTCAGTTCATTGAATTCAGAGACCGCCTACTAGCCCACTGCAATTCAATGGTTATATTCTATTAATATTTTTTTATATTTTTACGACGGGGTACAGCAAGTTTTTAGGTATTAAGTACGTTCCACTTAAAGCATGAACTGCACGAAATATCAAATTATAAAGAGATGAAAAAACCGGATAGGAATGAAATGCACTTGCGATGACAGTGATGAATCAACGTTATTAAGTTCTTATTTAACTATGTCAACTATGTTTAAATGTTCAAAATGCAATTTGCGCTATTGTAATTAATCACTTTCACAAAATGATGGAGTATTTGCATTATCATGAATGAAAAGAATTTATACGCTTGTTTTGTAAATATATGGACTGTGTGTAGGTTGTATCAGGAATGGAATGTGAGAGACTATAATGAGTTTCTGATAATAAACGGAAACAAGATGAAAATGAATAACACATGGACGGCGTTTATTTTTATTGGAACGGAAGCTGTCAGCAACTAGAGAAGTGTAGCACAAAAGAAATTAATATATTTTTTTTTGTTTGATTGGGTTTTAGGTCACACCGACACAGTAAAGGTCATATGGCGACGTTCCAGCTTTACTGGCGGAGGAAAACCTCAAGTGCCCTTCCGTGCATTATTTCAGGCACGAACGGTCACCTGAGTAGAACCACCGACGTTCCGTAAGCTAACCTCTCGGCCACGGACGTCCCAATTGATATTTGTGGTAATAAGATCGAATCATAACATTGTATAAGATATATTGGTGCCTTCTTAGACGAATCTTTGAATTCTAAAGATCATAAACGAAAATGTAAAACTGTTATGCTTAACTATCTTAAGATCAAGAGCATCCGACATTATTTGTCTTTCTGATGCCTCTGAAACATTTGTCTTAGCTCCTTAATACCTCATTTAGACATCATATTGTAAGGAATTTTGCAATCTGAGCTAGCGAAACTTCAACATATCCAAATCATTTGTGCTAAACTTGTATTGATCAAAATTGGATAGCTGGAAGCAAGCAATTTCCTGTTCATATTGCCTTCCCATTAAAGCTCGTATAAATTTAAGATCCTAGTGTATATGCACAATTGTTCTGTAGGAAATGCACCAACATCTCAAACCTCACCTCGCGATCAAAAGCTGGGTGATGTAGTAGTGCCATTAAATAGAAATAAGACCTGTTCAGCACAATAGGTTCATTATTGTGACATAAGCTTCTTAGTGACATTAGACGAAGGAAACCTGTAGAAAATTTCAAAAGACAAAAAGTCCCCTTTAGTTCAGAACTTCTTCTTCTTCCCTATTCTAAGTACGTTTGATCGTTGTTTTTTTTTCAAGTTTCAATTACAGAGATTTTGTGTCGTTATTGCGGAAATAAAGGAAACCAAAATGGAGATTCAATACATCTTAATATTACAATTATTCTTTTCTTTGATATGCATTTTGTTTCACCGCATTTTTGAAATAGTGAGATAAAAAGTGCTTAAAAATCAACCGTTTAGAATGCTGAAAAACTTGGTTTTACCAAATTTTCATCAAATTTCTATGTAATAGTTGATATTTCAGTCATCATCTCATGATGTTACATACACAGGTAAAATTTAAAACCATTTAGAATTTACGTAACATGTACAGTTACACATTCGAAAAAATCAGATTTTGTTACTTATGCCATAAGCTTTCACTAATGTGTGTTACAATGTAACACAAAGAACGTATCTTCATTAATGCTATTGAAATTTTTAGTTTATTATCATTTTCCTTATTTCGAGCACATTGAAATCGAAAATTTCATTAATAAATCATTCTCCAATCATTTCTTTTGTAACAGTTCAGTGAGACAAATGAGATATTTTTCAGGACTTATGTATAACGTATGTTGAAAACGTGAACCCATGCAAAGTTATCCAAAGAATAGTGTGATTCAATTTCTGTTTTGAACAAACATTAAATATAAAAGCAAATATAAACATAGGAGAGCGGCGTTTACGGAACGCAGCCCCCAACAATATGACACTGACTAATCACGAAGCAAATGTGCGTCCTTGTATGATATCATTATGTAAACCAATTAAGGCTTCAAGTTTGCAATCACATTAACCAATTTTATGTTTGATTAAGTAATAGTTTTAATGTAATACTTTCATTTTTTATAGCGATGATAAATAGAATGTAATGAAATGTCAATACATATTAGACATTTCGTTTTTGTGATGTAACTTGTTTTAAATTACATTTGATTTTTCTCACAAAATAAGCAAAATGTTATGAAGAACGTACAAAGAATAGCTTCAATTCAATTGATGCTCACTAAATACGTGCACTTATAAATGTGTTAACTCATTTGGAATAATTCACAAGTAATCGGATGCTCTGGGGCCTATTGTTGAGGTTTTATGATTTATGCATCATTGTTGTAAAAACTGGTTTTGTGACAATTTTCTGTTGTTTGCTAGAGTTGGATTCAATAATGATTTAGTTCAAAAGAAAATATTTAGGCATCGGAATACCTCTTCACTCAATAAAAGTATAAAAGCTCTCCTAAGCGTGACGCTGTAACTGTTGTTTTCAAGATAGGCCTAAACATGCTTGATAACAAAAAATAACAATAAAGTAAACATCAACTTTGAAAACTTACACTATATTATTTATAAACGTCATGGAAACTCGTAAATAGTAGAAAATCTCTCTGAAGAAATTTTCCACTCATTTCTTATAAATATCAATTCCAACAGACCAAGTGAGATGTGAGATTCATATGCTTAGATTTCAATTAAGTTCTCCGAGAACAGTTTTGAAAGTTGCCCTTTTGAAGTGCGGTTTTTCAGGTTGTTCTGATTTTATATTTTAACGGAGTTTTTTCAAGGTTTATATGTTATGTACTTCAGCAATACATCGATTAAACAAAGACTGGCTGGCTTCAATCCTTTTTTTTCTTTTTTTCTTTAGTCCTTAATTTATAGTTTGATAAGTGTCAGAAACATCAATTAACATGTCGATATTATTTCAGACAACGATTAAGAAGAGTGTATTAGTCTCCAAGGGATCATGAATTGTTATCACTACCTTAGAGATTACAACAGGTACAATATATGAAGCCATGCATAAGTAAAGATAATATCATTCTGAACCTTTCCACTTTATGATGTTTTCACAAGGGACTTGAAACTGTAATGAGTGACAAGGGATTGGAATGGAATAGCACATACGACGAAAATCATATTTTATTGTGATTGAAAGTATCACTGTACATTGTTACATAGTTAATATTTCTTTTTGAAGGGCCAATAATTTTAAGACTGATACCGTATAGAATTATTTATTTTTAATGCTTATCTGATGGACATCGCTTTATCAGAACCAATTATTGTAAGTAATATGAACTAAGGAAAATAAAATAAAATTATTTTAGCTAATAAACCTGAATAAAAATAAGACACATTCTAGAAAAAAGGGTCGGTCACAAAAATAACAAAATCTTATCACTAAAGCTTCTTGCGATCCATGCTACTATAGACATTCCAATGGGAACATTTGCTTTTTTCTGCTTACTATGTTTGATTTTGTTGATAAGATGTCAAATTATTTAAGGTATTGTGAAGTGCCGTGTAGCAACTGCAGAAAAAGTTTACCAGTACTTCACTTCAGTGTTATTATATTTTCCAGGTCCTTTGGGATCATTGATTACAGCCGTGTAAACAGTTGCCCCGTAATTCATTTAACTGTTATTTTTTTCTCTTTTTTTTTCTCTTTTTATTTTTTTTCTTGGTGGATGGGGGTCATTGGTTTCAGCACTTTTAAATATTGAAAACTGAGTAATTTGTTTTTGTCATAAATACTCATGTACAGACTTTACCTTTTACCACATGAGCATATTGTTTTCATTGAAAAGCCTCCTGTTAATAGTTCAAACTGCTATAAAACTATGACAAATACTGATGAAACTTGGCACAAATATTGACTTAACCATAAACTCTGTAACATCATGCTCAATATTAAATTTCCTGTTACCATGGCAACGGGGGACGTCTCAAAATTGTGAAAAATCACTATTTTGTATTGTTTTTTCCATCAAAACTACATCAAAACTGTAATTTCAAAGCGCTGCAAATTCTCAATGCATTGAGATAGAGTAAAAGGCTTTTCA